ATTCCGGCTGCCCATATTTCTGCTTAGTTTGGAAATTGCTTGACATACATACAGGGATCTGCCTTTTAATCACAGCTGGCTGGAAACAATCTCAATTTACAGAGTTTCTTTCCTTTTAATGTGCCACTTACTAAATTATAATAACAGCAGGAACAACAGTAGTCTTGTCATATTAAGTTAAGAATACTAAAACTTGGCTAAACTTTTTACAGGAAAAAAAAAAAAGCAAAGACAAACTGGATCCGCAGAAGGGACTTTGACATCATTATGATGAAAATTATTGCACCCAACTCCTCTTCCCGTTAGAATCTGCAAAGTCCAATGTAAATACCAAAGTTGTCTATGCGATACCTAAGGGAATTTAGTTGAGAAAGATCCACAAAGGCATCATGTTTGCTCTCTCAGGGACTGTGCAATAAAGCACTGTAATGTAGAGGTTCATGAGCTAGTTACCACCAGATTTACTCCACACTTCTGTGCCTACGTTAATGAGTAAGTGCAGCCCTGTTGGAGCAAGCCTGTAGAGTAAAAAGAGTTGGTGTTGAGGGCCTGGTGTCCACACTGTGTGCATTCGTGAAGTCCATTTCTGGATTAATTCCACCCCAAAGGAACCCAGGTCATGCATCCCGAGACCAGTCTGTGATGTGACGCTGTTGTGGTTTAGCTCCAGCCAGCAACTAAGCACCACACAGCTGCTCACTCACTCTCCCTCCTGCAGTGGGACGGGAGGGGGAATTAGAAAAAAGCCCTCGTGGGTTGAGATAAACACAGTTTAATAGGACAGAAAGAGAGAAGGAAACAACAATAATAATACCAACACAGGAATGTACAAGAACAAGTGATGCCCAATATAGCAATTGCTCACCACCCAGTGATTGACAGCCTGTCCCCGAGCAGCGATTTCCGCCCCCCGGCCAACTCCAGTTTATGTACTGGGCATGACGTCGTATGGTAGGGAATATCTCTTTGGCCAGCCTGGGTCAGCTGTCCCAGCTGTGTCCCCTCCCAGCTCCCTGGGCACCCCCAGCCTTCTTGCTGTCAGGCCAGCACGAGAAGCTGGACTGTCCTTGACTGCTCAGCAACAACGCAAAACATCGGCACATTATCAAGAATTTCTCATCCCAAAGCTAAAACACAGCCTCACACCAGCTTCTGTGAAGAAAACCAGCTCTATCCTGGCTGAAACCAGGACAGACGCAAAGTCTGGTAAGGAGGGAGATTTGCGCAAAGGTGTGCTCCTGGTTTTGGTTGAAGAGCTGATGTTGATGTCCATTCTGATACAGCATGCTGTACTCAAGCTCCGTACATAATTTTTTTCTATTTATTTTTTGACTCCGGGGAAAGATCTCTTTATTTGGGATTCACAGCCCTAAATCCTTTTACTGTTTACTATTATTGATCTTTCTTCTTTTTCCCCTCAAATTCCATATAGGGTTGAATAGAGTGAATCGAGCTGTAACATAAACTAATTAAATATTAATTAGAGCTGCTAATTGGTTGGAGATGTCTTCTCACATGGGTATCTAACCACTTACTGTAGGGTCATATTCACTTCCCTGCTCTGTCTCTGATGCAACAAATAAATTGATTGTTCCTTGTAAAGTAGAGCATGTTGTCCAGGAGGGCATGCAAGCTCCTCTGTGCCGTGTTGACTAGGGGTTAGGTCATTTTCTGGGGACCCAACAGGTCTGCATCCAAAGTGGCTTAAGGAGAACAGGAGCAGCCAGGGCCCTGACTAGTCAGGACCGAGCTATTCTCAGGTATGTCCAGAGGCAAAACAGATCCTTGGGCACCTTCCACATGGAAGCAGGGGCCATGTGAAGGCACCTCACCTTTATGCACTGGGGTTGTACAGCAGCTGAGCAGAGGGTTTGAGGGATCTGTGTTTGATGCTTATGGGTCTGACATGCTTCCTTGGACTATTTCTATACTAGTGAGTTAAATAGAGCATGAACTGAAGTGCTGTTTAATTTTTAACCCAGTTCTGACAGAGTTCTGGCCTGCACAGTAGCACACTTCCAGGCATGCTGTGGGGGATTGCTCAGGTCAGGAGTTATTTCCAGTAGGTAGTATGGACAAGGCCACTCAGTTTCAGAAGCAAGGACAATGTAGATTTCAGTTAGCCTGGCTTGGACACCAACAGACATAAAAAAGCAGGGAGATAGACAAAGGAGAAAGAAAAAAAAAAACCCTGACAGTAAGTTTCATTGTGGTTTTTCAGTGTGGGATACTATGTTTGAGACTTCCAAACTTTTTGGAACTTCCAAAAATTTTTCAAGTTGCTTCTTTCGTAGGTGACATATAAAAATTAATCCATTTTTAAAGAAAGATTTGAGGAGAATTTTTGCGAGGTACTCAGGAAGTGTGGGAGTGCTGTGTGATGACTTACGGAAGGGGTGAGATGCTGTTTGAAAAGAAATTCTCACTGAAACTGGTTCACAAAGTGGACCTATATTGGCTTTTACTCTGCTGGTATAGCAGATGTCATCAGGGATATATGCAGAGGTTAGGAAAATACTGGCATTTGCCAAACACAGAAGAATGATGCCTTTAGGAGGAGAAATATTCCATTTCCTTAGACATTTTCTCATGACCTCTGATAGAAACTGGGCCAAATTCATTGCTTATTTAACTGCAGTTCATTTAATTGGTTCAAACAGGGTTGCAATCAAGAATCCATGTGGTCCTTCATAACTGATTGTAATAAGGTACATTAATAAAACCAGGAAATGAGGATCTTGATATTCTGGTTGCCTGAAATAACGCTTTCAGTGTTACTAGGCTGGAAAATATATTCTGTCAGTACCCAGTTTGGGTTGGCAGAAGATGGTGAGTAATAAAGATAAATTCTGCTGGCTGTGGAGCCAAACTGGAGTTCAAAAGAACATTTAAGAATGTGCTTAAATGCATTGCTGAATTAGGGTGGGTCTAATTATGTAATTAAAATAAGCACACTCCTTCGTGCTTTCCTGAAGCCGAGCCTTGCCCAGGAACATTTTGCTGAATCTGTGTTAATACAACTAAACGTGAGTAGTATCATTTGGAATCTCAAAATAAAACTGTGATGCTGGCAGTACTAACAGATGCCAGTAGACACCGATTTTAGCCTATGAAGTGTGTGGCGATCCTGAAAAGTCAAACAGTTGACCTAGAATGTTGTCATGGTTTAACCCCAGCCAGCAACTAAGCCCCACGCAGCCGCTTGCACACTCCCCCATGGTGGGATGGGGGAGAGAATCGGGAGAGTAACAG